CAATTTTATTACACTCTTCACTTTATTTATTCTGCGCCCCTGAACAATGAGATACAGGTAAGTACAGTTGTGTAAATTTTGTGTTTATGCATTCTTCAGCAATGTTTCTCTCCTAAAAAAGCCAGAAAGATATAAGTATCATGGATTGTGCTGTATAGCTTTTAGAGTAAATGCGGACTGTTTTTTTTTAAATGTTACAGATTATGTTTGCTTTCTTCTTATATTTACAGTACATTCACTCATATTTTCAATTTCAGTTTTGTATGTTTACTTTAAACATTTAATGTATCAGATACATTTGACAGTTTATATTCACAATTTTTTGCTAAATCACTTAAGCAATTTGCACCAATATTATTGTTAATAAAATTAAAACAGCATTTCGAACGATAGTAAAGCCTGGTAGTTATTTTTTTATCCCCATTGTTTTTGTTGTTGATTCACAATGTGCCTTAATATATTCCTTTTGTAGTTGCTTGTATTTCTATGCGGTCTGTGGCTCAGAAGTAGCACTCGCATCTTCCACGTAATCCACAAGGTTGTCTGTTTCGAAGACGTCCCCTGGTCATCCTGCATTGCTACGTTCGGAATGTCTTAGTTTTTGAGTCGCGATTGTTCCAGATGCTGTGCATTGGGTGGTTTGACAGTGTGGGAATGAAACTAAATTTAGATTGATGTTTGCTTGATGCGTTTTGAGAATCCCTGTATGTAGATAGTAATGTTAAAAGTGCTGCCTTGAATGGTCCGGAAGATTACAATTAGGCATTGATTTATAGTATTAGTTCCATTTTACCATTTATATTTTATTTCTAGATCTACGCTTCTTGCTTTCTTTTTTGAGTCTTTGATGCCATTTTGGTAGCTATCAGTCGTGTTATATCTCTAGAATAATCTCTCACTAACTTGACTTAATTGTTTTCCCCCAAACTGTTGCCAATCAAACATGGTGCTTTTATTGTGTATTTTGTAGGTAGTAAGCAATTTGAGTTAATATATGATGACCTAGTATATTATAATTTACTTTCTCTATGGTCCTAAACTGTACTACATACAATTCACTCATCTTGAAATATGCCCAACAGGGAGGAACACTATTTAGATAACACAAGTCAGTTATATAAAAATGAAAACATAAAATATAAACGAATAATAAAAATATATTTTCAATATCTTCTACTTTACTCATGTAATTCAACCCTAAGCCGTACAATATAGTCTTTCTGTACTTGTTGGGTAAGAAAACCGAGTGTGATGAAACCCATTGTGATTAATTGGCACATCAGAAAGGCCTGGCTGGCCATTGACTGCCCTTGTTTATTCAGTTGGCTTATGACAATTCAAAATAGATAATTTATTTCTCAAAACCAGTAGTTTCACACTGAGTATCACCTGCATCCCATTTCTATTCATTTAGTTTGAGGTAATGTATTTTAGTGAGTGAATTCAAATTATGTAAACATTTGAATAAATAAATTTATTAAGCAGTTATGTTCTCAATAAACAAAATCTATTTCCTAGTAATAGAGTGCGGTGGGGCAGGTGGTGTTTGCCGACAAAACAATTAGCAATAGGCTGGATTCTAAATAGAAGCTGGGGAATCAAAACAAGGCTTGATACAGTCTCTTCTGGTTGTGTCAAATAATGTGCATGCCTTACTAAGCATAAATGTACATTCTGTGGTCCGATTGTCTTGCCCATTTCAATACTTTTCATCAATGTGTAACATTGCTATTTATAGCACTTTGAAAGTTGTTTCTGGATGGAAGAGATGATTATGTTAAACTGTCCTATTTCAGTCACACAGCTTTTGTGTTATGTCTATTTGCCATAACTTGATAATTTTCGTAGTATGGGTAAATATTAGTCTAGCTATTCATAGTTACTTGTTATGTGAACATTTTTGCTAGTTCACAGAATTTTTAAGTATATCTATTAGCCTTGCTATTCGCTAGCATCAAACTTAAGGGCGATTGATTGAAGGAAGTTGAATGGAATGCTGAACTTCGCAATATAAGTATTTATATTGCTAAAAAAAGTACAATGTTTTTCTTTTTTTTTTTTCAAAGTAATAAAGTTGCCCCTTAGTGTTATAATCCAATAATGACTGTTTATTTTTTTCTCATTATAACTATTTCGACAAAGAGAGCCTAGTTGTTTCTTGCGCCTGATTGTCTCACTGGGTGTGGTTATTATTTAGTGCATCAAGAATGGGTTGAACATTAAAAAAAACATTCTAGTCAGGCCAAGTGCGGAAGGTATGAAGTAGTAAGAGTGCTCCTTCCCTATTTGTTGTGTAAGTTTTGTTTTGGCAAAAGTTTATTAGATGTCCACTGAATAAAATAAACTGAGCTATTTATGAGCTATTACGATGTTTTTTTGCTTTTCATTCAAGTGATAGACTACATTGATTTGCACAGGTTATGTCCCTGGTTTTATTTTTCTTCTAGGCAATTAAACACTCTTGAATTCAGATATATTAAGTCTCTTCTATTGTATATGTTTCAAGAGTCATCTTTTGTAATGTTATTCTTTCACAGCATGTGCCTGTTAAGTCAGACCATACATTCAACCAGTGACAGTGGTGATTAGCTCATAGACTGTAAGAGTAGCAGCACTAATGGGTTATATAAAGACTTGGACCATATATTTGTTGTTTAAGTGTTCGTGTGTTGGCTTTTTTCTGTGTGAGTTTGGCCATTGGATTGCTAGTGAAATATAGCTCTTACGCCTCCTGTCATTCAGATGCATACTGTGACGATTCGATTGTTGCCTAGCTTGCTGGATATAGAGCATTAGACCTTTGCTGGTGCTCTATCCAAAATTCTGTGCCAGTAAAACACTCGTGCCATACAGCTCAGTTCCATACTACATGGTTTGAGTAGACATAGAATATGGATTCGGTCAGTATGGTGCGTGTGAGTTCCTGAAATGTCTTCAACTTTATATAATGTTTTTTGGTGGTAGGTTTTTGTTGACTAAGGGTCCCGGGTCCTCATTGATCATATGGATGTAATTGGATGGTACACCCATTGAACTCAATTTACTTGCATGTCTTTATGAAGCTGTCTTATATAATATCTCTGTGACATATATTTGGTGACGTTGTGCTATGTGTTTAATGACGGGGTTTGAAAGACTGTTTTCCAGTACCAGTAATGAAAGAATTAGGTAATTTTCCCATAAGATGTCCTACCTCTTTGTATATGGTATGCTGTTAGGGAGATCGCTGAACAGCATTTAGACATCAGGGAAGAAAATCTTGTTTATCATGTCTTTGCTCCCGTGAAAATGAATTAATACGATCTATGGAAAATATATGTATAAATGAACATAGGATCACATGAAAGAAGATATAAGTATGCTGGTTTGGTGTCTGATCAGAAACTTAGACTTAGACTATCTCTTTTACTGATGTGCTTTTTGGGTTACATTCTATGTAATCATGGGGGAAATAGAGAGTAAGTTGTTCTGTCCTGTGTTATTGATATTATAAGATTATCTATACATTAGTGAAACATTTTGTCAAATCCTGGGTGGCGTAAATATATGTGTGGATTGTGTATTAGTTTCCGCTCTGGTTGATTAATAAAACTGATGTTCATTTTGAGTTTTTTGTTTGTGTGGTCTGAAAAAAGCGATCGAGTGCCACCTTTTGTTTCTTTTTTAAATCACAATTTAAGAACTGATTTATAGCAAATGTGAATAGTGTGGTATTATTATTGTGCAGGGTGTAATTAGATGATATTTGAATTGATGAATTTACTATTGTTCTAATATCGAAATCCCATTCACTTCCAGTTCCTGCACCTATGGCCTCCAGTGAGTTCTTCTCTCTCTCTTATTTTTGTTTGGTTTCTTTTTTTTAGGCTAACGTATTTTGTGGTCTTCTTTGTTTTTTTTTTTTTGGATTGTGATGGTTGGAGGTTTTTTTCTTGTGATTTTATCGCTGGGATTTGAATGCTGATTTGTTGATTGCAGCTTGATTGTGTACGCATCTCTCTCTCGATCTCTTCTTTGTCTCTGTCTTCATCATAACCAGTTTGCATAGCGATGACGTGGAAGAAATGAACTTACTGTCTAGTGTGAGTTCTATAACTCCCTGAGTGATCTCCCAAAGGATTTTCATCCAGATTATTTGTGAGACCATTTATTGTATGGAGTTAATTCCATGTTTGTTCTTACAACGGGCTCCCGACCTTTTCATCAAGTCCTCCAGGCTTTGATTGCCACTCTGGGCATGTAGGACATGTTGGGAAATTAGGGTTTCAGGTATGGACAAAGAGGATGCACTTCACCTTTAGAATGAATTGGAATTGACCCTCTGACATTTGAGTTATTTACAATGGATTTTAGGGATTCCAGCTCGTGCTTATGTCCGACAAACAGCCCTCAAAGTCAGTCCATTTTAGAGAAGGAGGGTCTGGATCAACTTCACATCTTTTTAGTAACAAGATGCTTTCTTGAAACTGTTTTGGTGGTATGCAAACACAACTTATTCCAAGTCCATTGATGGTAAGAAAATGTTCAAAGAGTATGACTTTATTAATATCTTCCCCTAGCTTAGATATCCAATCAATATAATTGGTTTAGCCCATATGAAAATGGAGCGGGCATGGAAACAAAGTTAACTTAAAACAACTGCAAGTGACAGAAGTTAACAACTTACTTTTGGTCTCTCGAAACATTTGTATCACACCTGAAAACTCCCGCTTTTTGCTGGTTTTGCTGTTTGTTATTACAGTTTTTTTTTCTTTTTTTTCTATATTTGTTAAATACATGCAAATATTAATACAATTACAAAAATATCCTGTGAATTTACATGTCTAAGGTAAAAAAATGAAATATCTGTAAATAATCATAAAAGTACTGCTTATTTGAAGACATGTAGCATTTTTTCAACATAAAAAGATTAAAATACATTTGCAAATCTATTTTCTTTGCTTTTTTGTCAGTGTATAAGCATTGGTAAACAGTCAAATACAGTTTTTATCAGTGTAAACAGCAACAATTACTGTAATTTCACAGATAATGACTTTTACTACAGTTCTTCTAACTTTTAAAATTCAGATTAAAATGAGAAAAATCATATCATAATAACAGCACTCTAGTGTACATTTAAGCCTGATTATTTATAGTATAACAGTGTTCAGCTGTATTTCTAGCTCATTTTATTTTTTTTCACAGTGTAAATATCTTTAATTAAACATAAAAAACATCATATACAAAATTAGAGCAGAGAATTGTGCAGTTTTTTCATGTTTGTGATGAGGCTGACAATGACAATAACTGTTGTTTTATTGCTCAAAGTAGTGGATGAAAATCATTGTGCTTTTGTACAAAGACCCTTTCAATCCACATTTAAATAGTTAATTAATGGTGCTGAATATCTCTAAAATACCTATCCAATGCTAAATAAATAAATACCATAAAAAACCTCCATGCTGAGTTCATGGTCATTCCCTTGTTGCACCACAGTAACAGCAGCATGAACACCTCTTACAGGTGTAGTGGCACAATGTGACCACTGGAAGGAGCACAACACAAAGTAAACAACTCAGCATGAAGTGACTGAAACTAAACACTGATAAATGTGGACAAAAGGTTTGTGATAACAGGAAAACTTCTCACGTTGAACAAGAACAAATGTCAAAATGTTTCTATTACAGGCAACAACTGAGCTGATGTTTCGCCTGATGGGAAATCTGTTTTTATTTTTGGATCAACCCTAAAATCTGGAAAAGCATTTTTTGGATATCCTTCTTTCAATGTGCCTTTTTACAATTTTGCAGTAGGTTTTTTGGGCTGCTAGTAGTATAGAATATAGTATTCTCTTCCACTTCCCAAAAGGTGCCCCCCCACAAAATGTAACTCAAATGTAAGTGTTATGCACAGTACCGCCTTCACCTCCAGTTGAGTCAGAAAAAACCTTTGTATGTCACTGTAGTCATGTCTAAACACGAAGACCAAACCTCACCGACAAAGCTACAATAAAGGGCAGGGCAAAACTGGATCAACGTCACATTCATTTAATGAAACTGAAAGTTTGTAAAGTTTATCTCAAAAGAAAAATTCATTCTTTCTCAACAACACAGTCTCTGTTAAACACCGGTGAGTACAGCTGATATGTTTACTGCATTCAGTTCTCATTATCTCTGTGTAAGGAGGATGAACTAGATTGTTGCTTCAGCTGGTATGTTTTCTATTTTCCAAAAGAATAAAACTTTAAAAGGGATAAATCATTTTTGGATGGACGTTTTTGGACATATTAGACATATTAGACACTGTTTTCACTGTGGAAATGAACTTCACAGACGTTTCTATGGCAGCTGACATGTGATAACTGATGTTATTACTGAATTACTTTTACACCACAGTAAAGTTACATTCAGTGTTTCCCACACATAGATTTACTTGGGAAGGCCCGGTATATTAATGGCAGGTGACTCATTTTAGCAGAGAGACAGAGAGAGAGAGACGTGAACTGGTGGACATGGTGGATATTTTTCAAGCAAAAAACGGATAATGCAACAGTTTGGTTTTTGATAGGCGACGTCCTCCTGGCTCAACTGCTGACCAACAAAGTGAGCAGACACACATAGAGACTGTATGATACATGGAGAGAGCAGCAAAGAGGCGAGGCAGCCGTTGTGTGTGAGACAGCGGTGTAGGTGTGTGCATGCGTAACGGGGGGGGAGATTAAAGTATTTTGTGAGTTAACACTAAAATAAGGTGAATTTAATAGAATTAAAATGGTGAAATGAGGAATTATCTTTAAAAACAAATACACCCCCCTCCCCTTACTGCCAGTCTGTATGAAACTGTATGTTTAAGGTCTACGAGCTCCCAATATCCAGCCTAAGTGGTTTAAGTTATGCCACTAAGAGAGAGTGAAATATGTTGCCTGCCTTTCTCCACGAGGGGTCCGATCAGCTGATGTCTTTTTAGACATGACACTGTCAGATGAGCGCCTCCAGGTAGTCTCCACAGAGCGAGACAGAACACACCAGCGCAGCCGACTTCAGGGCCCTTCAGTTTCGGTTTTCCAGGTGCCAGACGTTCGACAGGCGGAACGCTCTCCTAGCTTTGGCGACTGCCTTCTCTGAGCTGCCTGCCGCCTTCTTGTGAGCCCTGCAAGTGAAGCTGAGCCAACCATCTCAGCGACAAAGTGTTGACGTGCAGCCCTGAGTTTGTGTCAAAATCTCTTACATATGGCGACACTGCGCACCTGGCGTAACTAATACTTCCACGTGCTTCATTCCCCCTTGATGCAGTTTTACAGAAGGTTGTGTCCACATGGGGGTGCTGCTGGACTGGATCAGCTGAACACATCCAGACAGAGGAGCCACAGGGAAGTGATCTTCAGACAGGCAGACAGTTGACAGAGCCATATTACACAGAGAACAAAAACTATTTTAATTGTGGATCGATTTACATGCACATGCAGAATCATCAGTGGCGTAACTTTATGTGTAATTCTTACTGCTCGTAAATAGCCAGAGAGCGATCAGATCTGCAGCTAATAAGCGTCAATCAGCCCACTTGCTACCGATCCAACAACTTCCTGCCCATGTTACTTTCTCCGTATTATAATATCAACAGTGAGAGTTTCCATGCTAGTAACGCCAGGGTGTTGCGATAAATGATATGAAGTCTAATGCCCAGAAGGGAATCAGAGCCCGCGGATAGTAAGCCTAAGCCTCTTAGCCTATCTCAGAATCCAAAACTCGTTCCACCCAATGTTGAATGTTTTGGACATAACGGTGGTCCGATCACCCCATCACTGCAAGCAGCTATCTGCCCTATTTGGAAGTTAATAGAGTAACCTTATTTATTTAACATCTCCTTACTCCATGGTATAGTATTAAGTAATAACAATTAATGCAATTATTACAATTATGGATCGAAAA